CTCACCGACCCGGCAAGTCTGGAGGCACATGCATGCAGCGAAGCACTAGCTCTAGCCCGGGATTTGAATCTTCAGGATCTCGCCATTGCCACAGATTGTGCAAAAGATTGTGCAGAAGTGATTTCTAACATCAAATCTGCAGGTGTACCTTCTTATGCTCCTATCCTTCGAGAGATCCATTCTAGTAGCAGTAATTTTTCTTCTGTTGATTTCCGTTTCAAGAGTAGAGACAATAGTTTTGAGGCCCACTTGCTAGTAAAGGGAGCTGCGTCTCTCGCAGTGGGCCGCCATGTGTGGCTAGGGTTCTACCGGAGATTGTTTGTATTCTGGACGTCGTGAACTTTGAATAAAATCCCTAGTTTACCTTAAAAAAACTAGATATATGAGTGGATTTTTTTTCCATTGCAATGCACGGGCCTTTTTACTAGTATAATGTGTTAAAAACTTTAGCCTGGATTGAATCAATATTTATTATTTATTGACTTATCAAAAGAAAACATGCCTAAAAGCATACTACTTTTATTTGGTAAGACCAATAAAACACGGTATAGCTGTGTCGGTTTTTCAAGTTCAAGTATAAAATGGAGGTACGGCGCCACCGATTTCGTACGAGTCAGACCAGCCACGAGCCCACGGTATAGGGCCTCGAGTTCACCACGCCACCCCTACGCGGCTACGCGGTCGAGACTTGAGTAAGGATGGCAATGGATCGGGTTCGGCCCGGGTTGAACAATATCAAACCCATATCCAAATCCACGAGGATATTCTTTGCCCATCCATGAAAAAACCCATGGGCAAAAAATTATGTCCATGTCCAAACCCGATGGATATCCATAACTGATGGACATCCATCGTGTCCTATCAAACACGTATACATAATACGTTAAAAAATTACATAACATGGCACAACATTCAAATGAAGACTCAGATTCTCTTAAAATGGCATTGCACAACAGCACAACATTAAATAAGTTTTCAAATGCTCACAGACATAGGAATAGCCCAGCATAATTTCTCAGTCTTAGTTTCTTAGAGAATGACATATGAATAGTCCAACATTAAATAATGACAAGTACAACCAGGAGACATATGTACATCATAGTTCTCATTATGAATGAAAAAATGTATTATTTTAGGCATCATCTTCTTTCTTCAGCGCATGGCACACTAATCTTCAGTTATGATAGACTCGGGCGCATCCTTGATGTGAACAGAACATAAGAACAATAATTGAAAATATGAAGAAAAAAACAAATATTGTCTCATGTAAAAATCAACTATAATGAGTGGAATATGTCACCATAGTTTCTTCTTCATCATCAACAACACTTTGAAATGCAACGTTTAGGTGATGAAGGAGCACTCTGTAACAAATTCCCAACGATAGCCCAGGCGTCGCCTTGTGCTCCATCATGAGAAGCCATTGCCCTATACAATGAAGAAAGCCTTCCGTTTCAGTTAAAATGGAACTACGTACGTAATGTATGAACCGTACAAATTATGTACCTAAAATGCAATTTTTAAAACCAAATTAAGAAATAGATAAAGCAAGGGACTGTGAGATCTTTTATAACCCACTTGATTGAAATTCAAAAACGAACTGACTGATTTAGTAAACAAGAATTACTAATTGAGATGCATATATATAGATCAGGTCATGTGTAGAAAAGTAAAATCGACTTGAATTGACCACTACAATGTTTTGTTCTCTGATTTGCAGTCGGATATTATTTTTTCGTCAGATTTGTAGTCAAATCTGACTGAAATTGACTAGGACAGAATACATATCAGGTCATGTTGTAAAGTTCATTTTTTTACTGCCACCAACTAACAAACATAAATTGACCACTGCGAATCTCTTGGTCTCTACTCCAATTACTAATAATACAAAGTCATGAACAAGCATGTAGCCATGCATATCCATGCACTAGAGCACTAGATGTACACGAGCAGAAACAAAAAACTTACCCTGATCACCTGATGGTTGGTTGTTTGGTGTGGTTGTCACCGGCCTCGCTGCACCTCGATGACGCCGCCATACTCCTGGCCGTGTGCCCCGCCGCACGCTGCATCGTCGTGCTCCACCTCGTTGCCGCACATGTGAACTGGTGGTATCTTGCGTGCTTGGAAAAGCTTAGATAGAGGAGTGGGGCGGATCTATGGAGATGGAGGAGTGGGGCGGATGTATGGAGATGGACTTGGCCAGCCACCTTCCCGATGAGTGGGTTGCTGCAGTGCGGCACCACATGTGAACGGCGACGTAGGCTATATCTAGGTCCGCAGGAGTAAGAGTCGAGGAGACGAGAAGATATTTAATGATGATTCACGAGTCATTTACCGAGGAGATAAGTATGGGAAGGAGCGGTGGAGTACTTCCTCAGTGGGGATTAGGGAAATTTCCTTTGATTTTTTATTATAAATAAGAAAAGCTGACAAGGTATATACTTACAGGTCGGGTTCGGATATATCCATGAGTATAAAGTTATACCCATGCCCTATCCACGATTAGTCGGGTCGGGTTTGGATGTTGCCCATGGGTATAAAATTGTATCCAAACCCTGTCCATTCGGGTTGGATATCCGCGGCTATTCCGTGGATAAAATTGCCATCCTTGACTGATTCCGATTCCCGTTGCACTAGAGGTTATTGTGGATCACTCGTCTTTCCGTTTTCGGCCAAACGAGTTAAAGCCATTATTACCGATGTTGGGCTCCCCTCGTGGAAATGGAGCCGCGGGAAGTTTCCGCGAAAGCCTCCGGCCCGGCGTAGCTAGCTGTAGCACACACGTCTGTTTCCCTCTCCATCCCATCCGTCAAATTACGCCTTTGCGTGTGCGGTGGACACACGATGCTGGAGCAATTTCAGGCAAGTTTACCCACGGGCCGGCCGAATCCGGCCAGGTCTTGTCCTCGTTTCGGTCCGGCCCACGCGCCAACGACCTCCCCTATGCACGCTCTGTTTTTCCCCCCTCTCAATCAAGAACTCGCACCGTCGCACGCAGCCGTGGCTATAAGTGGGGGAGGAAGAAAGAAGAAGACGACGAAGCCAACCCATCCAAGCGGCAGCAGAGCAGACGGCCGGCGACGAACCAATCCAGCCAGCCGAACTCGTCAGCGCGCAGCCGCCCTTCCCGCGAGGTTCGTTTCCCGCCCGACCTGACCCCCCTCAATCTCATCTCCTCACGGCCGGCCGCGGCGGCGGCGGTTTCGG